AAGTATGCATTTTAAAGTTCAGTAATAAGCATTTATGTCTTCTAAAAGTCTTTAATTTAAGCAATAGTAAAGATCAAGTAAATTTTTGAACAACAAGAAGAAATATGTTGTTATTTTTTATTATTAAAACCTAACTGTTCGTCGTTTAGTGTATGTAGTTAAGTATCCTCTCCAGATACGTAGGCCACGTATAGCCCTCCCTGGGTCGTTAAAAAGCAACGAAAAATGTATGTACATTTATCACAAATATGGTATAACTGATTATTTTAAAATGGAAGCGCATACGACCAAATATGTATATGAAAAATATACTATATTCACCCAGAGGCCGGATTCGATATCATGTGTGGGATCATAGGGTATGCTGGAAAAATAAAAAGTAAAATGGCTGCCGCCACCACCCACAAACGGCTCCCCCGTGGATGCCCACATAACATCGCAATCACCCTTTGGCAGCCTTTGTGTGAACAAATTTATCATATACATACATGTTTTATAGTACACGTCCAATTCAAACTTAGTGGGTAATATAAATTTATATTAATCATAATATACGAGCCTCGGGGTATATCGAAATGTCCTCATCGCTCATCCAGGAAAATAATATACGAACCCTGTAATTATATAGTTTTAACTTATCACCCGTGATTTCTACGCAGTTTTATTGGCATACTTACACATACATAGCGATTGTCACATAAATTCAGCTGGTACAAATACATATCCATAAATTATATACACATTAAACAATAAAATATGTAACACTGATACCTCGTAGTTGTATGCGCACCGATAAACATGATGCACTCGAAAACAAAAAGGAAATACATAAAAATAAATTATAGTGTGTTCGATATGAAACTCTAGAACGGCGTTATCTGTAAAACAAACAAATGTTCGAAATAAATTTCCATAATAACTAACTATAGGAAGTAATATTATGAAAACAAAGTCTAAATTTGATTTATCGTTCTGCTTAAATAAAGTCGGGACAAAAAAAACCGCAATCAAAACTAAATTAGCGCAATAAAAAATTATGGAATTTTTTCAAATACCCATTTTTATTTTATTTTCTATTATTATAGTTTTTTTTTTTAAGAAATTACTCAACGATAAAAAATATAAGTATCATAAAATTTTGATTTTAATAAAATATAGATCAGATTTAAACCTTATTCTATTTTTTTTCTAAAAAACGCATCATTTAGTATCAATATGTTTTCTTATGAGAAAAATAGTATGCATTTGCATAAATTCTGTGTAATTTATCTGATGAGATATGTTTAGAACATAAATCTTGGAAAGACATATTATTTCGTACGTGGGCTACGCTTGTTTTAAGAGATATGATTGAATTTTGTTTATAATACAAAACGTATTAGAAAATATACATCAAATCATCGTGGGTGTTCTTTAAGTATTATAATGAATAATTTTTTTTTTTTATAGAAGAAATTGTATTTTTTTTCTTATGAAATGCCGGCTATTGAAATTCGTTATGATTGTTTATCAACTAATGTCAACATTTCTCCATAGTTCGACAATTTTGAATTAAAACAGTTAAGAGGTTCTAGTATTTAAATAAACCACTTGAAATACACATTGATCGATATAATGACGAGAAAACTAATCAGACTAATTTAAATTTTAATTATTACAATTTAAAAATATCATGCTGAATAGCAAGACTAACATAAGATAAGCAAAGTGCAGGTGGTACCACAAATAACAACACATTATTCTGAAAAGACTAAATACGGAAGTTATATTGTCTGAGAGAATGTTAGTGCATTTTATTATATAACAACTTTTGGCGACATTATTTAGCAGTTAAGATGAGTATATTAATCATAGTAACCTTTAACATACAATAATAATATGATATTATGTCATTATAACGTTAGTCATGTGTTTTCAAATTGCGAATTATCTTGGTTTAGATAATGCTGTTATTATCACCTACATTTAATTACTAGAGACTCATGAACTTTAATTAATGTAACATGACTTCTTAGGCTAATTATAAAAGAAAAAACGTTAACCTATTTCAGTAAAAAAATTCTGTAAATAGTATGTGTTTTAAAATATTTTTGAAATAAAACGTTATTCTTTTTAAATATCAGGAGACGCTTTTCATGAAAATTGAAATGTAATGATTTTACAAATTAAAATTAAGCAAATTTACTTAAAATAACTATATTTAAATGTATCAACAAATTTATGTGTATACTCAAGACATTTATAATGAATTTCATATCATATCGTTATAAAAAAACAAACTTTCTTTCAAATACATCACTATTTTGTCGTTTGAAAATGAACAGGTTTTAAATCAAAATAGATGATTTTTCAGTTAAAAAATTATACAATCATATACGATTGTTAGTGCTATTATCATCACCATGAAGTGGCAGTCTGCTCCCGAACAGTTTTATAGTTATATACAGATATGTGTAACTTTTAATTATCTTTACAAGTTAATTTCCTATATAAATAGTATAACGACTTTAAGGCTTAAAAATGTGTATTTTTGTTAATGTAACTATCGAAATAAAATATTTTCAAAAAAATTGAGTTAGAACCTTTTCACTCTGCAATGATGATTTCCTGAAAAAATCGAAGTTTGATATTTTTTATCATATAATTTGATATAAAATGTCGTAATAAATTTCTATGACATGTTTTATTCCATTTAAAGGGTTTAAAAACGATTAAATAGATGAATATTTTCATCTCTATATTACTTTTTATGCAAAACATTACATTTAAATGTTTTAAAAAAGTTTTTATACATATCTTAATATTTTAACTTACTACCAGTTATTTTACACAAGAATAACAGATGTTTTATTTTCGTTACGTTTATTAATTATAATATTTTAATACAGTTGAAAGACAGAAAAAAATCTTATAATAAAAGTTTGTTTATCATTCTCGGTAAATTAAAATATTAGTTATTTTAGATTTTATCTTATATTAATTATATTTAACAATTATTATTATACTAATTATATAAAACTTTTGATTTATTTTGCCTGACAAATATTATAAATGTAATTTTTCTGAATACATTACAATTAATAGCATAATTTAAAAACTCAATGATTATATTATTCAGTTATTATTTTTCAATCCTAATAAATTATTAACAATGATAAGTGTATTATTATTTTAGTTTTACTGACGTATTTCTGGGAAATATAATCAGCTAATAAGGATAGTATTTCAAATCCATATAAAGAAATACATATTGATAAGGTTTTCATTTTGTTTACTCGTGGAAAGATCGTGTTAAAAAATCCTAATGGGAGGTCTCGGCCGTATAAAAAAATGTTAGTTGAGCGTTTTTTTTTATAGGCATGTATTAATGCAGTTGAAAAAAACTAAAAGTTGCATTTTTAAGATATTTTTTCTACATATTAAACTATTTTAAGGGTATTACTTTATTAAGTCGTTTAATAAATGAAAAAAAGTATATTATAAATGTATTTTTTACAATACAGTAACTATAATATAAGAAATTTACATCATATTGAAAGCTAAAAATGTATGTTTCAATAATAGAAACATAAATCGTAGGTAATTAAATAATTTAATTACCTACGATTTAATAATGGATAATTTATTTTTTATGACTTGGAAACGTAAAAAACCACCACATTGTGAGAAAAAGGGTGCATGGCGAAACTAAGGCATTTAACCTAGAGATAACTAGTACAAGTTAATTCATTGTGAACCAGTTTTAAAAAAAAAATTGTTGAGAATTCAAATCGTAGTGAGGGGGAATTATTTTCCAAGATTTCTTTTTTTTTTGAAAGAATGTCACATTTGAATGCTTATACATACCAGTTTCAATGGATTTTGGAAAAAATTGCACTAGCTGTGTGAACAAGGGTGACCGATCACTCCCCCACACAATGGAAAACCGGTTTATCTAAAGTGTAAGGTTCTCAACGCCGTTTGTCATGTTTAGTAGGGTGAACTTTAAAAAAATGTATACTTTTATTTTATTTGGGTCAATTTAAAAAAAATACCCTACCGTATGGGGAGCATCTTAAATATTTCCCAAGTTTCTCAGGGATTAATAAAAAAACTTTCAACAACCGGTTAGCTACCCCCACCAAGGACGTGCGCACCCTCGTAGCTTATTATAACTATTTCGCTATTAAAATGTGGATAATACAATCCGGTGATATGAAACGAAGCATTTGGTTCATCCCCTCCTTGCTGAAACTCATTGCCGTAAGAATAGCAGTGTTTAATAGAAACATTGTGGTAGCGTTTGTATTCAAATTGGTTTTGCTATAATAAGTACAGTGGAGAAACTTACATACGGCGTTCTCCTCTTTCTGCTTTTTTAGACCCAGTCTTTGTCTCACTCTCCTACTAAACCTCACCGACCCCCACTGTCTTAAAGACACACCAGGCAGCCGGCAATAACTGCATACATGCAAAACTCGCTTTACGGCCGTCCCGTCTATGCACAAACACTGCAGTGCGTCGTGTATGCATCGTCACCGATGCTGTCGTATCCGTCGCAAAAAGTCAAGTGACGGTTCGCGCGTTTCAAACTATCTTGTCTGCCGTGTATTTTTTGGTGTTGATATCTTTAAGTTTTAAATAAATTTAAAAGTGAATTTTCACGTCACATTTTTATCATAAATCGATTAATCAATGCAACTATACGGACCATGGACTTACACTATTTTCCCGCCATTGGTAATTTGACGTCAATTATTTCAAAAAAGGTAATGATTTAAATTAATTTTTTTGATATAAGCCCAAACTCAGACAAAGATTCAACTATCATTAAAGCGCCATTGTTCAACTACGACAGTTTTCTATCATTTATTAAATACAGTAAATTTTGAATGGAATTTATAAATTGAACCATTATTTTTGATTATAAAATATATCATTCATTATCTAAATTATAACTTGAAAATTTTATACTTTATTTGACATTAAATAGTTCATTAATATAAAATGTACAACTCAGAAATTTTTGAAAAGCTATATTTATATTTTGATGAACATTTTTTTTGTAATAAAACTAAAAATATATATCAATATTTTATACTTTAAACAAATTACACATCCATTTGAATTAATATTTTCCAAGTTCAATTCAATTGATTTAATCAGTTTTGATTGTTGCATAGGTTTCTTTTTTCCATAACATGCATTTGGAATCCTAAAAATGAATAAATTCAGTTTTAAATGTATACAATACCACTTCCAATCGTTAAAATAATAAAAAGGAGGGTGTTCGGCCATTTTGAACTGAACCAGAAGGTATCAGTAGTAGCATATAAATAATATCGAAATACATTTTCCCCTATTCATTAAATTTGGTGTGTATTTATTATGTTGGTAGGTCTCTGTGGATATTGATTAAAACTCAGAGGGAGGATTTTCACAGTCTCATAAAATGTTGTTATTATTTAAAAAACGAGCGCATTCTCTTAAACGCATACTGCTAGATAATATTTCTGTACTATGTTTTCATTCCTTTTTTTTTATTTGAAATTTATCCTTTCAATAATGTTGACATTCAATATCAAATAATAAATAAAGAAAAATTATTCTTTATCCATAATTAAATTTATCAATAATGGGAATTAATATTATATATATATTATATTTAGTAGAATATTGTAATATAAATAATTTTCCTAAAAGATATGATAGACAATACTTTGACATTGTTATACATCAATTCAATACTCTCGTGGCAAATTCTAGTATGCTAAGCTGATTAAAAAACAAGTCTAAAAAATATACTTAATGATATTTACTTATTTAATTTTTGTATATTTTATATTACCCATATATAAAATAATAAATAAATAATGATCACAATTTTAAAGCAATATCATAGACGCTGAAGCACCTCAAGCTCCAAAATTATGTGAAAATACCATTTTCATTATTTATGAATAATTTTGTTATCAGTAGAGGACATTAAGCATAAACAACAATCACTTTTCTGTTTAATGTTTGTAATGTCTTTGTGGTTATTTTAATTATATTTATTTATTTAAGAAATGTCATTTGGGGGTGTTGGGGTGAAGCTCCCACGAATTTATGGGCCTAACGTAATTTTGGCACTACCAGCGTTTTAGCTATAGTTGTGTCTATGAGTAATAGTAATTTTTAAAAAAGTGGTTTTGGTTAAAGTTTTAAAAAAGTTAAGTAATAAATTTTCCAAACTTTTTTATTTCGGGAACTATTGTAAATAATTATTAGTTTACTAAATGAAATAAAAATAATTATATTTAATACATTCATAAATAATGTATTTTAATATTTAACTATAGAGAACATAAAATATATTTCTAAAATAAAATATTTTATTAGAATACTAAACATTACTCTAACTTGAATTTCTAGATGAGCTATTGTTGTTTTAAATAATTTATGTCACACTATGATTGCAAAATTGTATTACATCAAACTTATGATATTTGAAAGTATAATTCAATGTAGTTTATTATTCTTCAATTAAATATTCAAAATACTCATAAAAACATTGATTTAAATTAAGTTAATAAAAAACCTTCTTCTTGAGATTTAAGTGTAATGAAAGTACACTAAAATACACTATAAATAACACACTCACAATAAGATACAAGATGATATTATTAAAAATTAAATTAATATCATACATCTGAAAACAATTTATTATAATGAAAAATAAAGCTTTCATAGTAATTACTATTTTAATCGCATTAGTTTACTTGTTATCATTTATCATTTAGTCACGAATAGCTATTTTAATTAGAAAAAGTAATTATTTTAGCGAACTACAATAGTTTGTAATTCATGGCTATTTATTCAAATAATTAATAAGTAAAATTTCTATTGAAAATGTGTTTTCATGTAAAACTAGTAAAAAGTAGCGAATATTCAGGTGTCAAAGTGTAATTTTTTTTTTTTTTTTTGAGTAAAAACCTGAAATTCCTGTAAAATATCATAAGGTAAAGACATCAACAATCATTAAAGTTAAAGTCATTTTCCACAGTTTTTAAGTTTGACATGTTGGAACAATTTTTAAGGTTTTGTTTAAGGTTCCTTAAAAAGTCATAGAATTAAATGAAAAATAAAAATTGTTTCAATTAAAATAAATAATTTTTGATGAATCTACTGCCAAAAACTGTTTAATACTTCAAGGACTGGAACTATTAATATACATAGAAATTTGTAAATAAAAAAAATATTTAAATTATTTTTTTCTCTAAATATGTACAAATTTTAATAATATTCAAAAAAAAAAAGTCCAAATTGGTTTTTTATATACTTTATGATTTTTTATTCCTGAAAAAAATCTCTATACATATTTTTTAAATGCTTCAAATCAAAATTGGAGCATTGATGTAATTGAAAATTCTATATATTTCAATTATATATATAAAAATAATGTTTGGTTTTATAAACATCTTTTACTTAATGTTAGTATAAATTCATTTTTATGTAAATCCAAATTATGGATAACTTTAAGAAACACGATAAAAACTTTAGTTAATATTTTTATTTCAAATTAAATTATTTTTCAGTAAAGTCATTTTCTATTTGTTGTTAATTTAAATGAGAAATTAAATTTTGTGCACTGAACTTATCACAGGGATATTTATTTGAACATTACAAGTAATATACTACCAAATATATATTATGCACTTTTTTCTCCATTCAACTTTTTATAAAGTTACATCGTTTTTGTTAACACATTAAACAATTTGCATAATAATTTTACATTTAATTTTAATATGTTTATTGTGTGTAATAATTGAACGTGGAATATAAATTATAAGACAACTGTTTTGCTATTTTTGCCAACTGCAAAATTTTAATATATGCCGCGGATCGTCTGGCGATGAGTACACCCTTCACCCCGTCCATCTTAGATACCGCCACCACGATTGTCTTCTTGGTCATCGGAGGCGAATGGTTTTATTTTAGAGTGTGGCTCGACGTCTGTTGTAAAAATAATAATAATAATAAAATGAAAATAAAAATACTAAAGAAGACGAACTGCTATTGAAGGTCGACTGTCTGCCGCATCTACATTTGTTCTTAACCTAACCCAACGCAGCATATTTATCTCAGGGAGAAAACGGTACCTTACTGTTCAATAAATTATACCACATGAAGGATTACGGTAGTAATTTTAGAATTAAAATAATGGACAGTTGCATAGTTGAAATACATTTTATCATCATAGATGTATTTTGTACATTTTACTTTAGTGATAAATGTCTACTACCTCAAACTGTTTTACTCACAACTCTAAGTAGATGTTTTATAAAGTTTTTACTAATTTTTTAAACATATATACTGTACAAATAAATATCAGAAGTAGAGTTTAGATTTCGTTTATCTTTTTACTGATATCTGATGACTTTGATGGGCAATGCAAAAGCACATGTTTCCAACAATTATTACCCATTTCGTCAAATCGTAAATTAGTTAATGTTTTCCCATGTTTTATATTAAATCAAATATTAGAAACGGATCAGTGGGTAAGGGTGTCCTCAATGTATCATGAATGTGTGATGATTCAGTCAATTGAGTGTAAAACTTCTATATTTTGTTATACTACGCAATATCAACAACTGCATTATTTGGTTTAAATATAATTATTGACGCAATTTGAACAAAATGGTAAAGTGGTCTAAATTATTATCTACCCATCTAAACAGAAACATGTATGAAATATTTTTTATTTTTTATTTTTATGTGATAGAATTTAGGAGTTAAACCACTTTAAGTGCCTATGAATTTACATTTATTATTTAATTGATATATATAAATAAGGAAAATATTTTTATAAAACTTAAGCGATTAAATACGAGTATTGTAATAATTCTGCTATTCCCAGGTAAAATTTTAAAGTATTTATATATTCAAAAAAAAATATTTAATTTTTTTTTCTAACATAAGATTTATTACATCGTTATTACAACAGAGTTTAGTATATAAAATTATGTGACTTAAAATTATAGATATAAAATTATTGTTTAGAATTACGGAAATCTATTTAATTATTAATTTACGACTTTAAATTAGAAATATTTGTGTTTTAAATTTAAATTGAAGTTGCTTTAATAACGAGTCTGTCAATGTACATAAAATTTAAATAATTACCTATTCACGTATGGGAATATAGAAAAGAGTTTATATTTTAATAAATTTTAATAAACGGAAACTTTTACTGGTGATCATATGATTTTGCCATGGAAGGGGATGCTTATGATTTAAATTATCATAAAAATTATCACAATCACAGAATTTTTTTACTTGTATTACTATATCAAGATGTTATTATGGACTATTCGATATTCATGATTAGTTCTCTTCATTTTAAGCCTATTCCAAACATTTTATAATAGTATCTCGTTGAAATTATCTACGTATAAATAATAAGATTTAAGATTTAATGTACCAAATATGTGGGATTGATAATTTTTTCAAATAAAATTTTTTTAAGGCTCAATTACCTTTAAATTAAATTAGCATATTTAAAATTTCTAAAATACACAATATATATATATATTTAAATTTTTTTTTACAAAATTATCAAAAATGATACATCAATGGGGATCTAACCCCCAAATCTTCTTATATTAGAGCACCATAGAGAGCATTGGTATAGTATACTTCAAAATGGTTGATAAATTGACAAATAGTAAAATTATAATTTTATTTTCAAAGTTTTTAAAATTGTAACATAAGTTATTGTTTTACAATTCTTCACGAACAAATTATTTAAATATACTATTTTACTATTTTTATGTTTCAATATTGAAACAGTTTTAATTAATTCTAATTAACATGTTTAATCGAGATTAAAATTAATAAAATAAATAATTTGGAATTTTTTTTCTACTAAAGTATGATACAAAAAAAATAAACTTTTGAAATTATTTAGGGTTTTGTTAAAAGCTATATAAGTTATAATAAAAAAAAAAAGTAGAAACAATATATATTTACATGTCGAAAAATGAAGTAGCAACGACACCATTTTGATTAGATGTTCATTAAAATAATTTGTATGATTCTGAATGATTTTACTTTTTTTTTTATTTGAATAATTATTTTTTATTAAACAAATATGTCTTTTGGAATGAAACGAGCTTTATTTACTCTACATTGATAACACATATTCCCTATCCTACTATTAGCAACAATATCATA